GCGTGGCGTTCTGTCGTTCATAGCGCCCGAGACGAGTGGGGCGAAGATCAAGGTCCTTGAGGACAACAAGGGGGCTCTCGCCTTAATCGAGAACCCGTTCAGCTCAGCGAGGAGCAAGCACATCGACGTGCGGTTCCATTTCATTCGCGAGCTATTCAAGTCAGGCAAGATCACTGCAGTTTATGTTCCGACTGAAGAGCAGCACGCCGACATGCTGACCAACGTCCTTGGCAGAGAGAATTTGGAGTACCACCGGAAGGCTCTGATGAACCTACCGATGTAGTGTTCTCTTGTTCTGTTTGGTTTATGTGGTGGTTTCAGCACTTGGCATATATGACCATGGTACGTCACGCAGGAAGCGTTGTGCCGGCGCGTCACCCGCGGCTGGAGCCTAGAAACGCCGAGAGCGTTGCTTCGGGTGTGTAATCAGCGTGACCGGTTCAATTTGTCCTGCCTTGGTCTTGTCTTGGAAGTGCGGCCGTTGGAATCCTCCGTGATAGCGACGGTTTTTCTATATTTAGGGTGTTAGACGAGGGTTTTTGATCCGGTTGGCCGGGTTTTCCCTCGAGCCTGTTGTTGTTTTGAGTCCCTTGGGTAGATCAGGGGTATCCATGCCCCACGTTAGGTTTTCCATTCGGGTGCAAACCGGGGAGGGTGTTCGTGTGTTTGGATACGGACTGGTTAGATCTACCGGCAACAACAGAGGGCACGCAGATGGGGCATATGTACACCTTGAAATGGTTGCATGCGCGGGGACCCCTCGAACTCCAAAAGAGGGCTTTACTTCTCGCTATTCCCCTTGCGTGTCTAATACAAGAGATAAAGCGTCTTCCCCTTCCAAGTAAAAGACATATACGAACAGGAGTAAGGGTATTCTCATTGGCGTTCGACGGAAGTCTGTTCGCGGGTACGCCAGTGCATAAAACGATGTCTGGCGTAAAAAAATAAACGAAAGAGACGAAGTGGACAAACTCTCCTGGCCCTGTGGCCGCTAGCGAGGACGGGTTCGTTCCGGTCCTCACTGCGGGCCAGAAGAAAATACACAAGAAAAAACAGAAAGCTCAGGCAACGGAAAACGCTACTGACCCGTCAACTGCTGATCAACAAACGGCGGAGGCAGCAGAGAGAGGTTCTGACCAAAGTCTCCGCTCTGGGAAAAAACAAGAGCGGAGACAGCTCTAACGGGGGGAAAGAATCCGAACAGGATTCAGCCGCCCAAAGCAACGACGACGACAGCGACAACTCCGGCAGCAGCGACGAGGAGGGCGCACTCAGCGAGCCGGGCTCACGCGGCGTTGCAGGCGATATGCTGGATGACGACAACGTCCTGGGGGGGGGGGCGCCTGATCCCGAACAGTGCTCTCGAGCGGTTTGTGGTGGGCCCGCTCAAACATGCGGTCAAGACGAAAACCGACCCACCCGGCTTTGTGCTCCAGCTAGCGCTGGGAACCTCCATCCCCGACCCCGTGATAGCCCAGGTCAAACCTCGCCGTCTTAGTCATGAGTTAGCCCACGAAAACCTCGCTGCTCGCCATTCCGCTGTCAACAACACCAACAGTAGTAGTACTCCGCAATCTCGGATGCAGATCACGGATTCTATCTCGCTGTAAACAAACAACCCGAACAACACAGGGGCAACGCAACACCCTGGCACACCGAACAGCACCGCGGTCAACCCAAACCTTGACCTGCAGCAGTACAACCCGGTAGAACAGACGCACGCTTGCACAAAACGTTTCACGCTCAAAGCTACGGATCTGACTGCCTCGATCAAAATCGAAGGTAAAGCACTCGAGGACATTCCTGAAATGATGGCGCTTTATCGTTCACGCGTCAGCCTTCTATCTCAGGATAACGTATCTCAGCAAGAAATCGACCACCGTGCTATCAAACACCTTCCTCTGGTAACGCAAGGTACAGCAGCACAGAACCTCAACCTCGTGCTCAGTTTAGCAATTGAATGGAGGCCTGAACCCATGCTAGCTACCCTTCGTGCCAGAGCCAGAGGAGAACCTGTAACATGCAGGCCGCCAAACACATGGCGTGAATGGGTCACTGCTCTGACCACCCTATTTGCACCCAACAACAGAGTCGCGTTACTTGCTCGGGATGTCATGACCCTGGAGGCCGAGTCCGATGAATCTGTTGATGCGTTCGCACTTAGAGTGTCCAGAGCATACTCACGTCTGCTGGCAGAAGCGGAACGCACAGTCCCAGCAAACAAAACACCTCACGAACATGTCTTCGACAGAGCTATGATCGCATCGTTCGAGAACGGCCTCCACCCACACATCCGCACCGACATGAATCGGGAAGATGCCAACGAAACATTCATGGAATCCAAAGGACGAGCTCGAAAACAGGAAGTTAATCTGTTGCAAGAATCACCGATTCCGTCCAACGATACCTCCTTTGCTGTATCTTCCATATACGCACCGACCGGAAACCAGCTCAGCAACCAGAACGAATTGCTGACAGCGCGGGTCAATGCCCTCGAGGAAGTCATCGAACAAGGCAACCACGTCTCCAGCATCACCAAAAACACGAACGACCGGTCGCGCGACAAGAAAGCCAAGAAAACCCTGGCTAATCGTGACAATAGCGCCAAAACGGTGACCTGGCGGGACCGCGCCGCCGGTCGGGCAGGTCAAGATGGGAGATCGACCAGCAAGAAACCGCGCACTCAACAATAGGAATGCGACTTCTGTTTGTGCAAGCACACAAACGGGAGGTTCTCCCACAGCCGTGCGGACTGCCACCATGAAGCTACCCTGAAAAAGCACAAGTTGAAGATAGTGCGAGACACGTAGGGTTGCCCACGGAAGCAAGGTTCCTCGGCTGATGAGGGAAAAGAGTCACTTGGGAAATTCCAGTTCACGGAACGAGGGGGGCCGAACACCAACCCACGTGGAAATGTACCAAGTTGGACAAGAGGGATAACGAGCACCGGAAAAAGCGTGTTCACCCTCTGGTAGGAAGTAATCTGGAAGCAGATAAGGTTGTTGTTGTTGTTGTTGTTGACTTCACATTAAACCGTATGCCAGTTGCTAAATGCCAAAATCTAGCAAAGACTCTCGGCCCGTGGTCACGAAAGTGCTGGAGCCATCTGAGGATCTAAAGAACACACACACGTAGCAAGAAAAAGGTGTACAAGAGCCCGAAGAGGTACTACTACACCTATATATAATCCCTGCAGCACCGTACGCGTGCCCAAAACTGAACTACACGTCCGTCTCACCGTTCGACTACAGCAACATCACCCCCTACTTGTCCCACTCTGTACCAAAACGAATGATTGCCGACTACAGCATACTTGCTGTCTGAAGTGCTGTCTGTACAAAAACACCATGGTAGGCATGGAACAAGAAGCTGGCGGGGCACAAAGCTGCTGTCTGA